AACGACTTCTGGCGAATTATTTATTAAGCAAAATTTAGAAACTGCACAGAGTCAAACGTTTGAAAGCTGTGTACAGCAACAATAATACATGCAATATATGCAATGTACAATAGACAATATAAAGTCAATATAAAGTTCACGGTACACACACATTAATAAACAATATACTCTGTGAAGATAGTCATCCAAATGTGGTTATCTGGAAGTTGAGTCATGGCAACTAGACTTCTTTCTTGTTAAGTTGAAACGTTTGGCTACTCATCCAAGTAGTTTCTTCAGTCTGAAGAGAGTTGGTAGGAGGAAAACCAAGGTGGAAGATGTATCAGGGATCTCCTACCAACTCTCCTCAAACTGGAGAAGCTGCTTGGATGAGTCACGAAAGGTTTCACCTAACAAGTTGCCATGATTCAACTTCCAGATTAATAAACAATGTTTTGATTGTCCCCGGGACAGATATTAGCTTGGTGTGTGGGGGGGGGAGGGACCTGCTGGCGCTGCGGGTTAAACCGCAGAAGCCTCTGTGCTGCAAGGTCAGAAGACCAAGCAGTCGTAAGATCAAATCCACGATGGAGTGAGCTCCCCTTGCTTGTCCCAGCTCCTGCCAACCTAGCAGTTCAAAAGCATGTAAATGCAAGTAGATGAATAGGTATCACAACGGTGGGAAGGTAACAGCGTTCTGGGTTTAGTCGCGCCACCTGACCACGGAAACTGTCTTTGGACAAACGCTGGCTCTATGGCTTGGAAACGGGGATGAGAACCACGCCCTAAAGTCGGACACAACTGGACTAAATGTCAAGGGGAACCTTTACCTTTACACAGGAAAAGGCTACATAAATAAAGCCAGCACCTAATTGCTACTCTCAACTAAAAGTAGACCCATTGACTCAACTGCTGAGTGGTAATTCTGCAGTTACAGAAATCCCACGCAGTCTGATCTAGCGTTCTAGGGCCTAGCAACAGGATATTGGTGTAATCACTAAAAAAAATACGTTTGAACTAAAAACCGTAGACGATGTGAAATTTCTGAATGAAGGGCATTCCATGCAGAGGGGCGCCACCAAGCTGAAGGTCCTGATCCTGAGGCCCAGGCGAGAGAGCTAGCAAGTGGTAACAAAGATGGGGGAAGGGAAGGGGCAACAAGGATAGACAGACGCAGAAAATACCTCGCGGGGAGAAATAAGCACTGAGCAGTAAACCGCTTTTCCGGACATGATCTGAATCCAGATTTAATCGGAATTCCCAGCTGTCATGCTGGGAGGTTTCTTCACATCTCTCGATCCCCGGCCATGAAATAATCGGCTCGTTGGTGTTGTCCTTTTCGAAAACCTCTTGCTCCTCACGATTCAACTCTTCCAGCCCTGCGAAAGCAATGGTAGCACCCGGAAACGATGGGCTCCGGCATCTGGGGTGGCCATTCAGTTTGCTTTAACCGCCTTCAGCGCTCTTTTGGACTTGACGCGGCAGCTGAAAGGAAGATTGTTCATCGGTTAATGAAACTGGTGGCTTTACAGCTCACTGTCTATGGGTATGCCTAGCAGACGTCTAAAATAACATGTGATTGCATATTGTCTATGTGTGTATGTATACATACATATTGTATATGTATATGCATAGGTTCGTGTATACAGAGGTTCTTCTAAATATACTCTTTGGACTCCTAGATCGCAGTGAAGTCTTAATGGCAGGGTTGTGACCTCCGACGTGCCAGTAACTCTTTGCAAATTATATTGATCCCACTGGAGCTTCCATAAATCAGTCCCATTCCTTCGGTGGGTCTACATTGGTTGCCTCCCCTTTCCAAATTATTCATATACTTCTTAATTACACTTTAAATATTTCTGGGCAGTACCTGTCTGCCCCAGGCGGGTGATCTAAGCAGCTTAAAGCTTTTCAGAAATCCCAAACTATGATTACAGCACTTGTAGGAAAAGGCATTGCCCAACTACGACCAGCTATCATCATTTGGAACCAATGTCTCTAACTTTGGCTGGACCCCGACGCACCCCAACTATTAAGCATTTGTATTTCTTTGTTGATAGGTAAGGCTTGCTTCAAAAAAATTAAATGTGTGCCTACTTCTTGTTAGGTGTCGTCAAGTCACGTCAGACTTAGGGGATCCTGACATGTTATTTAAGGAGTGGTTTTTAGCATTCCCACCCTCCAGTGAGCTTTTACGGCTGAGCGAGGATTCGAACCCCAGGACTCCCGAGTCCTAGCTCGACACTCAGCCCACTATCGTACTCTGAAGCTTAGAGGCCTTCTTATCGGCAAGAAATTTTCTTTTAGGCTTGGATCCTACACACAACTGGTCGAGAAGAAGCACCCTGATCGTCGTGGTATTTACTTCCCAGTAAACGTGCGCACAGAACTGGGCAGAAAGGCTGCCGTCCTCCTCGACGCACTTACCTGGGAATAGGCCTCGCGGTACACAATGGTCCTTTCCAGTAAACATGTTTTGATGAGACTAGCCTACATGAGATTGATCGGGCCATAAAGTGCTTTGGATCACCGCCTCATCAGCGGCTGGTTCCAGGCAGGCTCCTTTCCCAGCTGGGGTTGTTGCGGGGTGGAGGTAGGGGAGAAAGAAGAGGAGGGACCGGCGTATTCTGTCAGCCCGGCTACTATGGAAATTGGAAGGGGGGGCGGACTTTCCATCCGCCACGCAGAGCCGTTTTATCTGTAGTACGAGTGAGAGATCGCGTCGCGGTGTGTGTATAAAGAGATGCAGATCCGGCGACCTCTTGCCATTGTTCCCGACTCAAGGTGAAAAGTTAAAGCATAAAAGCCATGAGTGGATCTGGGGAAACGGGGGGGGGGGGCTTGTCGCATCTTCAAAGGCCAAACTGTGTCTGCGCCGAGATGCTACCGGAGGGCGAAAAAGGAATTCTCATATCAAAGTGACATTTCCCTATCTGCTTTGCAGAGGCGCTGCGATCTGAATCGCGTTGAAAATGTGCCTCAAGCCGCCAGAGTTCATGGGGTTACCAAAATAAGCCGGGGCCACGACACTACTGCTGCTGCTGCTGCTATTTTTATTAT